AATGAGTTTTTTGGGTTCATTGAGAACATGGTTGTTGTTCAATAATAAAATTATTCCTCAAAAATACAACTTGCCTAATAATTCTGCACTCCCTGTAGGTCTGTAGCTTATCTACTGAAATGGTGCTAATAGACTTTAAAACAGCTCAGTCAATTATATGAAGATTTGTCTCATTTATATTAAAAAAATGCCAAATATACAATGACACTTTTATCGAACTCAGATTTTTGCATACAGTGCTTCCCGAGTTTTGTATAAAGAGACATTGACCTTTTTAATGTTGCTGATTTTGTCTGCTGGGTTGAGTCAGGTACAGTCTGTTTTTACTCTGTTAATTTACAGTTTGGAATCCAAAACAAATCCCCCCACGGGGACCAATAAAATTGCTGATATGATGAAACTGACTTCATCTCATCTACTTGTCAGCTAGACGCCATTCCTACAGTTTTGGTTAAGGCATGTCTACCTTCTTTGCTTCCCCTCATGTCTGCTATCGTCTGTTCTTCACTTACCACTGGAACTGTTCCTGCTTCCCTCAAAATTGCCGCCATCACCCCAATATTTAAAAAAAAAACTGGTCTAGATCCCAATAATTTTGAGAATTTTCGGCCTATTTCCAATCTACCAGTCCTTTCAAAAATTCTTGAGAAAATAGTTGCCACACAACTGCACTCACATTTAACTAATAATAATCTGTATGAACAGTTCCAGTCCCGCAGCACTGAAACAGCACTTATAAAATTAACCAATGATCTTCTTATGGCAGCTGACTCCGGTTTACTTTCCATTCTTATTCTCCTCGATCTGAGCGCTGCTTTCGACACTATTTCTCACTCCATTCTCCTCAGTAGGTTGGCCTCCATCGGTCTCTCCCATACTCCACTAGCCTGGTTTAAATCGTACCTGTCTGATCACACTCAGGTCATTCAACTCAAATCCTTTACTTCTCAGCCCTTTCCTCTGACCACTGGCGTGCCCCAGGGATCTGTCCTGGGCCCCTTCTTTTCATTATCTACCTTCTTCCGCTTGGACACATTTTCCGTAAATACAATATCCAGTTTCACTGTTCTGCCGATGAAACCCAGCTTTATCTGTCCACTAAACCTGATTCTGCTCTTCCCCCATCCTCCCTCACCCTCTGCTTAGCCAAACTAAATTCATGGTTCTCTTCTAATTTTTTCAAACTCAATAGTAATAAATCCGAGCTCCTCTTGGTCGGCACTAAATCTACATTATCCAGAACCAACAGTTTCTCTGTTACTATCAATAACTCGCCGGTCTTCGTTTCTTCCTCTGTGAAAAGCTTGGGTGTCATCCTCGACAGTACTCTATCTTTCAATTCAAACATTAATAATGTCACTCGGTCTGCATATTTTCAATTGCGCAACATTAATCGTCTCCGTCCTTTTCTCACCCCACATGCCGCTGCCATTCTTGTCCACAGCCTTGTTACTTCCCGGACTGATTATTGTAGTTCACTTCTTTTTGGTCTTACTCAGAAATCCGTCCACAAGCTCCAACACATCCAGAACTCTGCTGCTCGTATCATCACCAGGACCCCTTCTGTCCACCACATCACTCCTGTCCTGCAGCAGCTTCATTGGTCAAATATCGTATCAATTTCAAAATACTCTTGTACACATTTAAGGCTATTCATCATCTTTCTCCTCCATATCTCTCTGATCTGGTTCAGATCACCGCCCCATCTCGATGTCTTAGATCCTCTTCTTCCCTTTCTCTCTCCGTCCCCTCCCCTCGTCTTGCCACCATGGGGAGCAGGGCTTTCAGCTGCTCTGCTCCACGACTCTGGAATTCTCTACCTCCTGATTTAAAAATTTCTCTTCCTTCACTCTCTCTTTAAGTCCCAACTCAAAACTCACTTGTTCAAAATAGCTTATCCCACATAACCTCTCCACTCTGCTATTGTAAATTTGTTTTATGTCCTATACTTTTATGCTGCTTTTTTTATTCTACTGTGTACAGTGTCCTTGAGTGTTCTGAAAGGTGCTTTCAAATAAAATGTATTATTATTATTATCATATCTTATGTTGCTTTACATAAGATACTTTACACAACAAAGTTCTATAAGTGCAAACTTGAGTAAAATCGTGCCAAAGTATTTTCTCCAGAGGCAAACATTACGTTTTTTGTGCTTTTATTCCACAAATGTATCTGTGTGAACAGTCTGACCTTTTTTTGTTATTTGCTTTCGGTTCCACATCTCATTTTTAGACTCAAACTGTATAGCTTGTGTACTTTATATGCTATACTTGGCTCTCTAATGCATAAGGTGTTGTTTGGAACCTGCTGTGTCTGTCTGGCAATCACGAGTGTGGCAATAAATCAAAGTCTAGATAAACATCTTCATCTTTAATGATGAAATTTTTGACACATTAACATTTATTAACATGTTGCATCAAGCTCCTTCTCTATGCCTATGCTCACCTGCAGCGTATGAATAGCATGAAAACTGCTTTTGTTTGGCAGCTCTTTCTAAATACACTTCGCACTAAGTGAAGAGTGGCTAAAGTGTAATATAGAGTACAGTTTGATGTGCACATTTGTGTATCATACTTAGCTTGCGTGTGTGCATGAAGGTCTTACGTGACTCATTGTGGTAATATGTGCTCACAAATATCCGCGTTACACGCCTGAGATGTTGAATAACCATCATATGGGACTGTGTGAGTGGGTGTTTGTGTGTTTTTTGAAGCTCTATCTTTCATTTTAGATTTATAGTAAGAATAAGAAGAATAAGAATAACTTGACATAACTGTGAATCAACCTCTTAATACAGTTGTAACTTGCGAGACTTATACTTTATCTTCTACAAGGTTTTGTAGCCCTATATATATGGAATATTTGCCAACTGAGGAGCACCATGAGGATTAGATCCTTTATTGGATTTAATGATGTAAAGTGTTTGCACTTCAACATTACTTGATACTCTTCTTTTATCAATTTCATGCTGACAAATATGAGATTGGTCAGAATGCAAAGATAAATCTTTACCTCCAAAACCTTAAAAGTCTGAACACCTCATAGTCTGAACCTACTATGACTGTCCACAAAAAACAAACACACAGACAGAAAAGGAAGGAGGGCAAACTCTCTAACAGAATAAGCCTGTAAATTCAGTCCAGTACAACTTACCCAGACCTCTGAGCTCTATCCTAATGCTACCCATAATCTATAAACTCTATAAAAACTAAATAAGAACCCGAACTGAATAATAATAAGTCTTACTAGAAAGATAATGACATCAAAAAACTAAAACACAACACATGGCACATGACACCAGCTATCAGTCTGAATATCTTAATGTCACTTTCATATCAGATACACAGAAAATCTTTGTCCAGTGACATCGCCGAAATATTTTTGAATGCAATGATTCCCTCACAGGAAAAGCTAACACCATACTACATGGAAACAATGCACATTAATAATCTTAGAAAAGGACTGGTACAAGTATCGTCAAAGCAAAATCTATCTTAACCTTGCAAGCTGGGAAGATGTGATAAATACAGCAGAATGGTCAGTTTATAATAAACAATGTGGATTCTAATTAATTAAGCTAAGACTGAAAAAACAGTTTGTTCTGTCGCCTGAAGCATCATTGAAACCGTGAATATATAGCTGACTACATACGCAGCACTGCAGCCTCGCTTTGTCCATTTAAATTGACTAATAAGCTGGTTTATAGTGTAGCATCACTGCTAGTGTAGAATGGTCATGTTAGGAGGATGTTTTTCTTTATCTAGTTCAGTGGATTACTCTAGAAAATTGCCTCTGTTAAGTTCATAAATAATCCCAACTGAGACGTGTGTGTGTGTGTGTGTGTGTGTGTGTGTGTGTGTGTGTGTGTGTGTGTGTGTGTGTGTGTGTGTGTGTGTGTGTGTGTGTTTCTCACCTCTGTAGTGCTCCATGCGAGTGTGGTGTGTGACTCCCTGTGATCTGAAGCTGAGGCTCAGGATGTACCGAGGGTCTGAGCTGTCACGAACCAGGAAGGATCCGTCTGGTTTACCCTTCAGCTTCATCTCCGCATCCTCCCAATTCATGGGACCCCAGTACCAGCCGCACTGCAGGTTGAACCCCCA